CAGAGCCCTCCTCAGAGCCTTCCCCAGACTCCAGGACTGGCCCATCTTCCTCCCCAACCTCCTCACTGTCTGAATCTGCTGCCAGAGTTCCAATTACAATTTAGTGACCAAAGCTACAACGGTACTGAAAAAAAGCGGCCGATGGTAGTTTTTCACCCTTAAGACCATTGCTGCATCCCTGTGATCACATGATCAAAATTCAGACACTCGGCATTCACACTCATGACTTTTGCAGTGTCCCTGGATCATGTGATCCCCCTGTTGCGATCTTCTGACAAGCAAAGTCAATGGGGAAGCCACGTTCATGGAAGCGCGGCTAACTTAATAACTGCAGTGCTTCACTTGTGACAAGAAAGGGCATAAAATTGGGCAAGATTCGCCTTTCTCACTTAGCAACAGGAAATTTTGGGCTCAATTGTGGCCATAGGTCGAGGACCGCCTGTACTCCAAAAGTAGCAAATTCTCGGCTCCAGTGGAAATAGAGTTCTAGCTTTCCCCAAAGTCCAGACTTTCCCACGAAGACAGCTGGTGCTCTCAAATGATTTCAAAGACGAATTCTTGACTTGCGTTATCTCCGCAGGGGGACGAGGAAACTTAGTATCAGACGACGGCTGGAACACCGTTCCCATCAGCAAGGGCAACAGGCCCCTTGACCCCAGCAGGTTAACCAAGATCACTAAGGTAAATTGGTAACAGGTTTTGGGTACTAGTAATATTGGCGGGACGTGCTGGCTCAGTGGCTAAGACACTGAACTTGTCCATCAGAAAGGTCGGCAGTTGGGCGGTTCGAATCCCTAGCGCCACGTAACGGAGTGAGCGCCCATGACTTGTCCCAGCTTCTGCCAACCTAGCAGTTTGAAAGCATGTAAAAATGCAAGTAGGAAAATAGGGGGCACCTTTGGTGGGAAGGTAAAAATGTTCCGTGCGCCGTCGTCATGCCGGCCACATGACCACGGAGGCGTCTTTGGACAGCACTGGCTCTTCGGCTTTGAAATGGAGATGAGCACCCCACCCCCTAGATCGGGAACGGCTAGCACATACATATGCGAGGGGAACCTTTACCTAAAATTGGGGCGGGGGGGGGGGGAATGTCTTCATTTTCTAGATGATGGGAAGTAAAGTCTCAACAATCAGCCTGATGTGAGATTGCCTAGGTCACCAAAAAGCTAGATTACTTTTTATGGCCATTGAATATGTTACGTTACCTTTTCCTGGGAATTTGGGAAAGCGGGGAACCCAAGTCTTAAACTGCCTTTGCATCTCCTCCAGATGAATTCTCTTTATAAGTTTGGAGTATTTTTTATGCGAACGTGGAAAGTGAGATCTGACAAATATTCTAGCAACAGAAAGCAGGGCTACTCACGTGCAGGAAGAAGATACACACCTATTTAAAGAATATATCCACACACCTTGATTTTTGATAGTCTTTGGTTAACATGTTCTAGTTTTTTATTTTTAAAGGGTCAAGGCTCAAAATTTGTTGTTCACTGTGTTATAATGTTTATAAATGTATCCTGCCTTATCTTCCACATAAACCTGCACAATGAGTTAAGTAAATAAGTTAAATAATGTGTTAAATAAATAAGACCTTCACTTGAGATGTCTGTGGAGGTCATGATTGTCCCAAAGGTGCTTTTTTCAACTAGGCTTTCTGTTTTTTCTTTGAAAAACGTTTTACTTCTTCAGTTCTGACTGGATGGTGGGGAATGGAAGGATTTATATTCTTTGCAGACAGCTGGTCATTTGCATCCTTTTAGGCAGTTGTTGAGGCCACTTGGAGGTTTTACCTCTGTCCTCAGGGTCACCTGAGTAATGCATATGGATGTAGAGCCTTAAGCAGAAAAACACCCATTTCCACTATTCAGGTGACCCTGAGGACAGAGAGAAAACCCCCAAGTGACCTCAACAACTGTCTAAAAGGATGCAAATGACCAGCTTGTCTGCAGGGAATATAAATCCTTCCAATCGCCAACATCCAGTCAGAGTTTTATGGAAGTCTTTAAAAAAACGCAAGAAAATCTATTTGCCTTTTGAAAAAACACCTTCGGGACTTCACCTGGGATAAATAAGGGCGCTGAGTAGTACTTCGAATTGCCATAAGTATCACCTAGTTGCAAAATATTTGATGGATTTTGTAATGTTTTCGATGCTTATTGAAGCTGTTACCTTTTTGCCTGTGAGATGGAGATGGCACAATTAAGGGAGCTGAAAAGCACGCATAATTAAGTACCGTATTTTTGGAGTATAAGACACACTCCCCCCGTGGAAGTGTTGTTGTGTCTTATACACCGAATACAGCCATTTTTGGTCTCCTGAAGCCCTGCCCTTGCATCCCATTTTTACAAAAAAATGGGCCGTCAAAAACGGAGGCGTTTTTACCTTTCCCCCACAACTCCCAGAGGTTGTGCAGGCTTCAGTAGGGCTGGGGAAGGCAAAAATGCCCCAGTTGTTGTGTAAAACGGCCTGTTTTCTGCCCGTTTTTCAAAAATTGTGTTTTTACCTTCCCCCAGCCCTGATGAAGCCTGCAGAATGCTGCTGGGGGCCACGAAGGACAAAAACTTTTTTTTTTCTTACTTACCTCTTCAAAATCTTGGTTAGGTCTTATATACCGGTGCGTCTTATAGTCCAAAAAAGACAGTAATTGTAATCAAATGAACTGTGTCTGGTTTTTCTCCTTTTTACAGCCTAGTTCAATTGACACTAATAGTCAGCTGTTTGCACCTGGTGGACGACTGAGCTGGGGGAAAGGCAGCAGTGGGGGTTCGGGTGCCAAACCTCCCGAACCAGGTAAGGTGGCAACCGAACGTTGGCGCAATGGCCGATGCCATGGAAATTCTGAACTCGTCTAACCCACCGTTTTCCTTCCAGCTGCTGCTGACACCACCCGTCCAGCCACGAGTACTTTGAATCGTTTCTCAGCCTTACAACAGTCGGCTCCTGCAGAGAGCCAAGATGTTCGGCGTGTGATTCAAAGGTTGGTTGTCTCCTTTACGCTTCCGTGGCCGGAATTTCCCCCTTGTGTTTGAGGCTGGCTTAAGAGAAGGGTGGAAGGACCTTTTCTGGGTTTCAGGGCCCTTGACAACATTGTGGTTGCTCCTCCGGAATATGTGAGCTGGTGGAATGAAGAGGTTTTGGCCACACAGGGGCGCTGTGCTCACAAAACACCCTTAACCAAATGACTGAATAGGAATAGAATAAATTAGTAGAGTAGAATAGAATAGGAAAAAATGAGTAGAATAGAATAGAATAAAAGGGCTAGAATAGAATAGAGAAAATGGGTAGAATAGAATAAAGGGAGTAGAATAGAATAGAGAATAAAATAGAATAGAATGGAGAAAATGAGTAACTAGAATAGAATAGAGAAAATGAGTAGAATAGAATAGGAGAAAATGAATAGAATAGAATAGAANCTGGAGACCCGGTAGCAGAAATTTTGAGTAGTTTGAAGAACTGATAAATGCCACCTCTGGCTGGCCCCGCCCCATCTATTCTCTGCCTCCCGAGTTCCAGCTGATGAGGAGGGAATGGGGATTTTGCAGTATCCTTCTCCTGCCACCCCCAGCAAGCCACGCCCACAGAACCGGTAGTTAAAAAAATTGAATCCCACCACTGGATTGCAGCCTTCTTCTCAGTACCTCCTGCAAGCTTGACATCTTGTCATTTATCAAGAAAACCAGAATTCATGATGGTGTGGTTCAAATGTGGTATTCAGCAGGTTCTGACCAGTTCTGGAGAATCGGTAGCGGAAATGTTCAGTAGTTCGAAGAACCGATAAACACCACCTTTGCCTGGCCCCGCCCCCATCTATTCTCTGCCTCCCGAGTCCCAGCTGATTGGGAGGAAATGGGGATTTTGCAGTATCTTTCCCCTTCCACGCCCACCAAGCCATGCCATGCCCACCAACCCACGCCCATAGAACCAGTAGTAAAAAAAAAAAATGAAATCCCACCACTGGGCAAAACTCACTTAACAAATTTCTCACTTAGCAATATAAATTCTGGGCTCAATTGTAGTTGTAAGTCAAGGACTATCTGTACAGGCAGAACTGAATTGGAACCAACATTTCCATGGCTAGGTAAGGTGGTTACTAAATGAGTTGCGCCTGAAATTTATGACCTACCTTGCCAGGGTCGTTAAGCAAATCGCTGCAGTTCAGTGGCTCGCACCGTTGTCAAACAGATCTGGCATTGATTTTACTGATCTGGGAAAGTCACAGCTGGTGATTACAAGACCCTGGGATGGTGCAAAGGGAAACAGACTATCAAGTGGTTGTGTGGGGTCTCTGGCATTGCTTTGAGCTCTAAGCCACATAGTGCTTATCAGCCCTTATATTCCCTCTGCCCACAGGAGCTCTTCCGACGGGTACGCAGCATCCTCAACAAGTTGACACCGCAGATGTTCCAGCAGCTGATGAAGCAGGTCACCGAGTTGTCCATTGACACGGAAGAACGTCTCAAGGGCGTCATTGACCTCATCTTCGAGAAGGCCATCTCTGAGCCAAACTTCTCCGTTGCCTATGCCAACATGTGCCGTTGCCTTATGGGGGTAAGATCTCCAGGAATCAAGGCCCACCAATTCTCACAGGTGTTACACGCTCCCACCTCCCCTTCTAAAGTACAGTGGATTTAACTGCCTTCCAGGATAGGGTGTGTAGATGCTGATAACGGGTGGTTGTAGCCCAGTTGTCACATATAGCATCTCCACTTAGATCAGGATTTCCCAACCTTGGCCATTTTAAGATGTGTGGACTTCCCCAGGCTGGCTGGGGAATTCTGGGAGTTGAAGTCCACGGTTCCACCACAAAACCGCGTTCGACTAAAGCGTGCTTGACGAAACCGCGTAGCTGACGTCATCACAGGGCGACAACAGCGCGGAGACAGAAGCACGTTGTAAACGC